AGGCTGCTCCCAACGGCGGCTGGTTCCCTCCCCATCTGCCTTTCCTCTGCGGCCCTAGATACGCTGACACCTCTTCCCTCCCACTACATCGCCCAAATCTGCCTGTGGTGAAATAGTGGGTGCTAATTTAGACTAGAGGGTGAATGACTGCTGGGAGTGGATGGGCCCCCTTTTACTTTATATTTTATAAAGAAAGATTTTTTAAACAAAGAAAATAAGACCGATCTGACTGTGGAATGGCGGCCAGCTGGCAGGGACGGTGCGTCGGGGTCCGAGCTCCCCGAGCGCAGACATGGGGTTTGCTCTGCAGGCCCTGAACCACCTGCCCCGCCTGCAGTGCCCGAGGCCCTGCCTGTCTCCGCCTCCCTCCCACCCCCGCCCCCCCGAAGAAGCCGGTCGTCTTCATTCCGAAGGTGGAGAACATGACATCCCGTCGCAACAGGGACGTTCACTGAGCAGCAAACTCCACGTGTCTGCCGTCATTCTCAGTAACCAGGGGGCGGCCGCCACATTTCTCAGCTGCCTGGGGAGAAAGGCTGATTTGAGCTGGGAGCTTGGGGAGAGTGTCGCTGTCACCGTGGAGAGCGATTCAGCTGTCACCCGCGGCTCCCCTTAAGACCACCCCGCCCCCCCCCCCCCCAACGCCCTGGGCTGCGCATCCGTCCTGCGGCGGCCGGCCCGTCCGAGCTTCATGATGTTGCAGAGACAGGGCTGGTCACCCACAGCCGGACCCGTGCGCCCTGGCGTGGCCGCCCCCGACCCGTCACTGCTCCGGTCTCTCCCTGGGCGAGTGGAGCTGCAGGGCCCACGCTGCCGCGCGGGGGTTCTCTGGGAAAGTGGGGAGTCCATGCGCCGAGTGTTTGTCAAGCAGACGCAGCCCTCAGCTGCAAAGGGCGTCCGTGCGGGGCCGCTGCGGTGAGGGGCGGAGGCCCGGGCCTCATCAGGCTGCTAATCAGTGACTTCCAGGTGTGTGACTGCCGGCTTCGGGCTGCTGCACTCCACTTGGCTGGCCCCTGCGCTGCTTCCCGTGGAAATCGGTGACTCCAGGGAGGGGCTGACTGTGCGGTTGAGGGTGGGGGCGGGGTTGCCTGTGGGCTCAGGAAACTCGAGGGCGGGAGGGGGGTGGGCCGCACAAAACAAACAGTGGCCTGAACTCGGTGATGGCCAGCGGCCCCGGGTGCCCTTTGGTTGCCGGTGGGGACGCCACCCCCGTCCCCGAGTCTAACCCAGGGGCGAGGGCACGAACCAGCCTCAGCAGCAGGTTCCCACACGGTTCTAGCAGAGACGGGAGTCCCGCCCCCAAGAAGTGCCGGCCCAGGGGACAGGCATGCCGGGGGGACCCGAGGCTCTGCCGAGAGGCAGCGTGGCCCCGAGTGGATGAAGGTGGATACCACGTGTCCACCTGCCCGACCACGGGGCCCAGGTGAAATGTCCTTCTGGGGGTGTCTGGGAGGCTGGCCTTAGAATCGGTGGGCTCAGGGGAGCAGGGCTGGCCGGCCGCAGTGCGGGTGGGCGGTCCAGCTTGCTGATGGCCCGAGCAGAACACACACAGCCCGCGGGGGCCGTGCGCCCGCCTGTCCACCTGGGCCGGACCTCGGTCCCCTCCCTCCGCTTCCCAGCCTGGGCAGCCACGGGCCAGTTCATCCCTCCCCGCTCCTCTCCCCGTCCACAGCCCCCGCCCCCCCCCTTGGCTCTGTGTCCCTGCAGAGCCCTGACAGAGGCAGCTGCTGGTTCAGCTCTCCGCGCTTCAGTTTCCTCACCCGTCAAGCAGGGATGATGATTATTTTAATTATTTCATAAGCACGTATAGCTACTGCAATTGCTGTTTAATCCAGAGACCCCTCTAGCCTTCGAACGCCCCAGTGACGTCGATACTGAGGTGTCCCCCCCACCTTGGACGTGGGGAAACCGAGGCACGGGAAGCGTAAGAGAGACGCCCAGGACCCCGCACATCCGCTCCAGGCCTGTGCAACTCACGCGGCGCTGGCTGGCAGCCCTGTCTGCCGGGTCGGGCCACACGCTGGGTTGTTAGATTGTGGTAACAATGTATCTGATGTTACCGTAATAACGTATCGGCTCCTCCATCTGCTTCGTCGTCGTCGCCGTGCCACGGCCGGCTGGGAGCCCCCACGAGAGCCACGAGAAGCCCGGGCTCGTCCCCGCGGGCGCAGCCGGAGGGAGGGCCTGGCTCCCTCAGCGACGGCTCGGCTCCCGAGAGCCCGAGGTCCCCCAGCACCACTCGGAGTAGATGGTCCGGTCATGAACTAAACGCAGGGGAATGCAATCACCGGGGGAGCCAGCCGAGAATACAGCACATTCCACACGTGCAACGGCCACGAAGTTGCTGTCGCCCGTGCCTGTCGAAGGTGCTGCCGACCGGAACAAGTCCAAGCGCAGGTTCTCAGCGGGGGCGACTGCCCGGAGCAGCCGGCGCTCACACAACCCGGGGGCTCGCCCACCAGCGCAGCCGGCCCTTCAGGGACCCCCAGCCTCCGAGCTCAGACCAGAGAGGGGTCACCTCGGGGCCCTGGGGCCACTGGACCGTGGCAGTCGAGCACCGTGCTGGCCAGGGCCGTCCTCCGAGCCGGGCGCAGAGGGGCCGATTCCCCCTCACCTGCGCTGACACCTGCGACATCGCAGAAGAGCCTGGAGCGCGACGCCCCGTGGCCACAGCGGAGCCCCACGGCCTGGCTTCCGTTTAGGGGAAGGTCCAGCACAGGCCCCTCCGGGGAGACAGGAGGGGGGCTGGCGGTGGCCGAGGGTCGGGGCTCGCTCTGCCGCGGTGAAGCGCTCCGGCCGGCCGTGAAGACAGGAGCGCGGTGCGTGGGGGCGCCGAGACCCACTGAGCTGCGCACTCGCGCGGCCCGTGGCCCACGTGCGTGCCGGCGCCCTGGTTTTTAGCGGGGGGCCCCCCAGCCCGGCTGTGTGCGCAGCCGTTCTCGGGCAGATCAGGGGTGAGCGAATCTAGACGCTGTGGCTCCTGGCAGTTCCTGGGGTCCCCACCCCGATGAGGGGGCCCAGGGCGGTCCTCCCTCGGGAGAGGGTGTCGGGGAGCTGGGGGGTCCCAGGCCGCCCGCCGCCCTCCTGCCGGGCCCGGGTCGCCGTCACTCGGCCCAGGGCCCGGCTCAGAGCAGGTGGTCCACTGCCTCTCGCCGCTCAACCCCACGCCCCGCGGAGGTCGGCATTCGTGGGAGGGGTGGCGTCCAGCTCACGGTCGCAGAAACGGCTCCCGGGGGAGTGGGAGGAAGAGACCCCTTGGCGGCTGGCAGGCATGTGTGGGGGAGAGGGTGCCTGCCAGCTGGGCAGGAGACCTGGGGTCCTGAGGTCTTCTGGGAGCTGAACCCAGGACGTGTCTGTGCTGCCCCCTGGTGCCCGATGGCTGCAACTGCAGCCCCTCCCCCCAGGGCTGGGCGGCAGGAGGTGGTCGGTGGGGGCTCACACCAGAGTTGGTGCCAGGGCAGCCCAGGTCCCGGCGGAATCAGGAAACGCCCGGCGGGCTCAGCCCGTGACGGGCCAGGCATCAACCATGCCCTGAGGCACCTCCGGCTGCAGCGCCAGGTGCTTCTGTGTTGCTTCCTCCGAGAGGTGTCTGCCCAGGACCCGGGCACGCTCTGAGCCCACGGGAGGCCAGGCCCCGAGGGTCCCCCCCTGGGGAGCCACAGGCGAGAGGACATCCAGGAGAGCTGGGCCACGCTCAGGGCTGAGTGGGACGTGGGGCCTGTGGAGGGGGGCGCCCCCAGTGACGGACCCTGCCCCGGGGCCCCAGGGCTATGGAGGGCGGAGGGCGGAGGGCGGAGGGCAGAGGGCATGGTCCAGAAGGGGGGTCTGTGGGACCTCCCTGCGGGTCAGGCGACGTGAGGAGCCCAGGGGCTGGTGTCTCACTAGAGGGCACCGTGGGAGCTCCCGGCAGGGTGGGGTGGGCACAGGAGGGGGCAGGAAGCAGGGGGGGGTAGCAGCTGGCCCCTGGGGTGGGGGTGGGGGTGGGGAGGTCGAGGGGCCCAGGGGTCTGCCCAGGGCCGGAGGGGAGACGCGGTCTGAGGGAGGGAGGGGGAAACTCCTGCGCTGGGAGGGACGGGGAAACTTCGCAGCTTCACAGAAGTCAAGCACGCCGACAAGGCATGGTTTAAATATTAAAATATATTTATTCACACAACTGTGACTGACAGCAGCAGGAAACAAGTGTCTCACAGAGGTCAGACGCCCTCAGGCAGAATCCACAGGTAAAAACCAGATTCTAGAAATGAGTGTTTATGCAAAATACGGGTCCATAAATACACGCTCCCGCAGCCTGCTCCCACCCCCTGCGGGTCCCGCGGCGAGGATGGAGGTGACGGCAGATCTGAATCCGGAGCCAGCCCCTCGGGGCCCCCCCTTTGTCAGGACAACCCAGGAGGCCGGGGCCCTGCAGCAGACGGGCTCAGAGGTGCCGCCCGGCTGCCAGCACCCACGGGGGGCCCATGTCCGACGCTCCCCACCCAGCCCTGGGCCCACGACGGCCCTGCACGTTTTTACAGCAGCTGGCGGAGCTGGGTCGGGAAGGCACAGACTGATTTCAGAGCTGGGCTGTCCCCGAGTCTCGGGGCTCCCGAGGCCCCTGGTGGGCAACACGGTCGGGCCACGTCCACTGGGAAAGGCCACAGAGTGTGAAAGGGCCGGAGAGGGGGCAGGGGAGACAGGCTCGGTGGCGTGGTGGTGGGGGGGCATACCAGGCCGCCCCTCCCGTCCCCACGGGCACTTCTACGTGACTTGCATTCCTTCTCCTCTCCTCGCCGCCTTCCGGGCTCAGATGCGCGCAGCCCCCCGGCTCCAGCCCCCCCATCCCGAATCTAATGGGAGATTTGTGAGGGCCCCCCCCACCCCCATGCTCAGTGCTGGGTGAGCGGTCGGTGAGGGTCAGCCCTTCTGGGCAGCAGCCAGATGGTGTTTCCAGGCAGCGCCGAGGGCCGGCCCAGGCCCCGGGCGGGCGGGTGGCCGTCAGACGCTGCTTTGGAGCTGGAGGTCCGAGGGGGCGGCCTGGAGGTCCGAGGGGCTGTCGGAGGCCGAGGACTGGCTGGGCAGAGACACTTCCAGGCCGTGGGAGGGCCCCGACGGGGGCCTGTACAGGGCGTACGCAGCGGCGAAGAAGAGGAAGCCCAGAGCCTGGGGGGAAAGGCCCTGCTGGAGCCGTGGAGCTGCCCGCCCGGGGGGCCCGCCCCGCCCAGACCGGCTCCTCTGGGGGTTCCGAGGACGCCTGGCCGCCGCGGCGAGAGGCCCCCAGCGCGGCCAGCCCCCCCATGTGGACACCAACACTCTTAGCCGAGGAACAAAAACGCCATTTGACTAGAAGCAGAGGCAGCGGGGAAGGAGGGGTGCTGAGCACTGTGCCCCCAAAGCTGTGTCCCAGTCCTGCTCCCCGGAACCTGGGACCGGGACCTGTGTTTGGAAACAGGGCCCCACAGGAGCAGTGAAGGAACTTGAGACCAGTGCATGCTGGCCGGGGGTCCCCGGTCCAGGGGCTGGTGTCCGTGCAGGAGGGAGGGGACAGAGGTTCGACACGGAAGCACAGAGGGGACCCTGTGACCATGGAGGCGGAGATGGGGTGATGGGTCTTCCAGCTCCGGGTGGCCGGCAGCCCCCAGAGGTTGGGGGACAGGCCCTGGATGGATCCTCCCTCAGAGCCCCCAGAAGAAACCGGCCCTGCGGCACCTTGACCTTGGATTCTGGCCTCCAGAACTGGCCATCAATTCCTGTCGTTTTAAGCGGCCCGGTGCGGAGGCCTTGGTTATGGTGGCTCAGTAACCGGACCCAGAGCTGGTGAGCCTGGTGCTCCCCACCGAACGGGATGCGGCCCGGAAAACCGGAGCGCGGCGCCCACGCCAGCCTCTGTAGGCACCCGTGCACCCCGGAAACGCAGGTTCCAGCAGAAACGCCCACCGGCTCCCCCTGCAGCCTCTCTGGGGGGATGCCAGGCCTGGGCCACTCCGGAGTCCAGGGACTCAGGGGCACGCCCGCCTGCGCCCCCTGCTGGAACTAGCGGGCGATGCAGGCTGGCTGTGCAGAGGTCACAGGGTCATCGGCCGGGGTTCCAGCCTGCTGCTCCGGGCGGGAGGGGGGAGGGGACCACAGGACACACACACAGAAGAACACCGGGGGCCAGCTCCCTGGGAAGGAGGCCGTGTCTCTTTAAACCCAGCCCGGCGCTCCTCTGCGGCGCCCCAGATCCCCGGTCACACGCGGCTATTTTTACGCTAATCCGCAGCAAGCTAACCCAGGGTCAGCCCGGGTCCTTCCGGACCAGCCTCCCGCCCGTGGACACGCTCTCCCTGCCGGGCCCTAGGGGTCCCTCTTATTTGCGAAGTCCTGTGCCTTCTCCTCGGTGGGGGGAGACTCAAAACGCCCAGTCGGCGGCGGGGGGGGGGGCAGGAAGGCCCCCACCGTCCCGTTGGCACGAGCCCAACACGCCCAGCGGCCTGGACGTGCCGGGGCTGCGGGTTCTCCCTCCAAAGCCTCAGCCGCCCCCAGCCGCAGGCTCTACGCCCCAGGCCCGGGAAGGCAGGGGCGGGGCTGCGAGCCGGGAGGGGAGGGGCCTGTCCCGGGAGGGAGGGGCCTATCCCGGCCGCTGCACCGCCGCACCGCCAGGGTCCAGGGGACAGCTCTAGGCGGGGGAGGGGCGCTTCTGCACGCGGGCTGCAGCGGTGAGGCCTTCGGCCGCGGGCTCGTCCCGGTGGAGGGCCCGGGCCCCGCCCCCCCCCCGCGGCCCCCCGCCCCCCGCGGCAGACGCGGCCCAGGCTCACCTTGTACGCCAGCCCGGCGATGAGCATGTAGCGGCTCATGGCGGCGTTCTGGTAGAGGAAGCAGGAGCCCTGCCGGCCGCAGGGGCTCTGCCACAGCAGGCAGGCCTTGTCGATCACCCAGCCGAAGGCGATGGGCCCCGGGATGCTCCCTGCGGCGGCGGCGGGAGAGGCGCTCAGAGCCCCGCGCGCCCGGGCTCCGGACAGGGGGCCGCCGCCACCGGGGCTGGGGGGGGGGTGCGGCGGGGACCTAAATGTTCCCGCCACATCGGGGGGACACGGCATCCGGCCGGGACAGCCCCGTGGCCTCTGACCCCGGGGAGCCCCTGGGTTCGCGGGGCAGAGGGTGACCGCGGGTCCCCCTAGTGGGCCGTTCGGGAATGGCACCCTTCCCGGGCGCAAGCACGCCGGCTGGGCGGGGGCGCGTACCTAGAGTTCTAACCACGATCCACTGGATTCCCAGCGCAAAGGACCCCTGCTGGTCACGGACGCACCTGCGGGGGGACCGCCGCGTCACGTCCAGGGAGGCGGCCGAGCCCGGGCCGCGCCCCAGGCTGCCCCGCCGCGTCCCCCCCGCTGGACGGCGCCTCACAGAGGCGCGGTTCTCTCTGCCGCGGGGGAAGGCGGCGGATGGGGCCCCGGCTCACCGGAGCGTGGCGGTCAGCGCGGGGATGCTGCTGAGGAAGGTGAAGATGATGACCACGAACATGAGGACCAGCAGCAGGGGCTTGCTGCGGCAGGCGGAGGCGCACTTCCCCGCGGTGGCGTGCCCGGGGCCGGAGGGCAGGTTCTGAAGGGCACACCCACAGTGCCAGTACACCTGCGGGTCGCGAGGACAGCGCCGGTTACGGGAGGCAGGGACGGGGCCCCGGGGGCCCCAGTGCGGGCAGACACAGTGCAGGTGGTGGCCCCACTCACCTTCTGGCCGCCGGGGCCGGCCGGGGTCTCCTCCTGGCACCCCGCATGGCACGGGGAGTAGTACGTGAGCCCGTCGGAGCCGCACACGGGGCTGTAGTGCTCGGGCCGGCAGCTGCAGTTGGCGTTGCAGGCGGCCGCCAGCTCCAGGTGGCCCGCGGGTGCGGCGCTGCCGGTGGGAGAAGCGTGCGGTGGGGCGGAGGCCGGGCCAGGCGGGGTGCCCCGCGGACACAGGGGCGCCCCGTGTCGCCCCCACAGCCCTCGCCGGTGGGTTGACTACCCGCTGGGATTGCCCCGCCCCCAGAGATCATCGCGGCAAAGCAAACCCAGCCCCGGACCCCACCGTGCGCCACACACGTCTCCGCAGGCGTGTTTTTTGTGTGGGCAGCGGGTCCCCGTGCGTCGACATGCCGGGGCCTGGAGTGTCAGGTACGGAGCCCCCCGGACACCGTCCTGCTGCAGCCGGGCCGGCAGCCGCCACGTGGTCTGAGTCCTTCTCGCACAGCGGGCGCCCGGTGTGCCCTGCTCTGCGCCCTCCCGCCCACGCTGCTGCCTCTGGGGGGGGCCCAGGGCCCGCGCCCCCTCCCTCCAGCGGTGGCAGAGCCGTCTGTGCAGCGACGGCCGCAGCTCAGCCGGCCCTCTCCCCGCCCATGGGACCCCGCAGGCACACTGTGGCCCTCCCTACCTGCCGTTGTAGTGGGCCGTCACGCCGGCCACCGGCACGTTGGGGCAGTGCGCGAAGAAGACCAAGGTGGCCAGCAGGCTGGTCAGGGTGCAGGCCAGACAGAACCTGATGACGCTGGAGCCGCGCAGCCTCAGCCTGTTCACGAAGAAGCCGCCCAGGAAGGTGCCGCCGCCGCCCGCCGGCACCACCAGGTACCCTGCGGGAGAGGGTGGGGCTCAGCCAGGGGCTCCGTGGGGGCCTGGGGTGGGCCCCGAGCCCTCTGCGTCCTCTTATCCCCCTTCACGGACGGGGAAACCGAGGCGCAGAGCCATCCCCGTCCGGCAGCGCTGGGCTCACAGGGGTCCAGGCCCTGCCCGGAGCTCACCGCCGCGCTGCCTCTGGGGAGCAGCGAGTCCCCCCCTTGCCCAGGCCCCGCACACGGTCACCGCCCGTCCACCTGTGGGGGCGGGTCTGGAGCCACGGCCGTGGCCTCTCCGAGTGAAGGTGAGAGGGGCTGGCATCCTGGGCTCCCAGGATGAGAGTCAGGCTCCAAGGGGTGGGGGGACCCATCCATCTCCCCAGCACTGGTCAGAGCCCCCTCGGGGGCTGGGAGCAGGGCCCAGAGGACACGGCTGTCCCAGGACGGGGCGAGGACTGCTGTGGGACCGGAGGCAGTTGTTGTGGGTGGGGTCTGGGTGGGGGAGCCGCTGAGAGGCTGGGCAAGGAGAGGAGTGCGGGCGTTCGAGAAAGGGGGTGGCCCCTAATTGATGGGCCCCCTGTGAAGGAATGGAAGCCTGAGGGGCGCTGCCTGGAGGCCCCCACTGCGCCCACGTGGCAGCCACGCATGCTGGGGCGGCCCCCCCTCCCCGGCCAGGCACGTTCTCAGCGGGCCGAGGCTGCCCTGCAGCCAGAGCCGCCCAAGGAGGGGCCTCAGGAGGGTCCCCCCTCTCCTGGGCGCCTGCAGCCCGGCAGGTCCTCTGAGAGCCAGGACCCTAGGTGGGGCAGGAGGTGCCAGGCCAGTTAGCGGCCACCCCGTGCCCCCAGCAGAGTGGGCGCCCTGCGGCCTCGGAGGGACCCATCAGCACACCGGGCAGGCGGCGGTCCGCACACCCAGCCCCCTCAGGAGGGGCGGTCTGCTCCGGTCAGACCCGGGAGCAGCGTGGCCCGGCCCTGGCTCTCGGCCTCCCCCTGTTTGGGCAGGGCCGCCTGGGGGTGGGGGGGCAGCACGCCGGGGCCTTCCGGAACTCGCTCTCAAAGACCCCTCGCTCCTCGGAAGGCCCCTGAGCGGTAGGGGGCTCTCTCACCGAACAAGGTGGCGGCCTCAGAGGAGCTCAGGCTGAACTGGGACTCGAGGAACTTGGGGCCAAAGGTGGACATGCTGGCGACGAGCGTGGCCTCGGTGGCGCCGGCCAGGCAGAGCAGGACGAACGTGGGGTTCTTCAGGAGGAGCCACACGGAGCTGCCGGCGGGGGGGAGAGGGGAGAGAGGAGACGGGGCGTCAGAGCCAGCCAGAGCCAGGGCGTGCCGACCCCGCGGTCCCTGCGCCCCATCTCCTCAGGGGACAGAGCGGGCCGCCAGGGCATGGGCAGGCACCCCAGATTTGCTCCACAGGGACGGGGGCTGGGGGGAGGCTCAGAGCCCTGCGCGGCCTCGGAGGGAAGGGTTTCAGGAGTGTCGGCCGTGGGCCGTGGGCCTGGAGGAGCTGACGTCACGTCCTGAAGCTTCACTGGGGAGGCGTCCCCAGAGTCGCAGGTTTGGGGACCTGCTGCCAGGCCACAGCCCGTCCGAGGGACGGGCACGCGCGCTCCGGGAGGGCCAGCCCCTGGGGGAGGAGCGGCCCTCTGAGATGGGGGCGGTGTTGGGCAAGGCACCAGCAAGGGGGACGGAGCTCAGGACAGCAAACCGGGAGTCCCGGCCCCGGGGGTCTGGGGGCAAAGGGCCCGGCCCACGTGGGCAGCAGCCCGTGCACAGACAGATCCACTGGGCAGCCGCGGTTCCCAGCCCCCGTGAGCCACAGGCGGCGGGCGCCTGGCCCAGCGTAGAGATGTTGGCTGATGGGGCTGGGACCCTGTGCCCAGGAGCCACGAGGGACGAGGGTCGGGTGGGACGGCCTCTCTTGGGCACCCTGACCACCAAGCAGGCCCTGTGATCGGCGACCGATGGGTGGCTCCGGCTCGGCTCTGCTGAGCTCAGAGTCTCGCTGCGGCCGCCGAGGGGCTCTCGGTGGTGGCTGCAGGCTGACCCACGAGGGGCGGCAGGCGCTGTCCTCCCGGGTGTCCTGCCCCGAGAGCCGCGCCCCCGTGGCCACCCTCACGCCTGCGATGCCCCTGCCGCACAAGTCAGAGCAGCTTGGAACATGGGCTCCCACGGGCTCTTGCTCGCCCTGGGAACAGAGGCCGGCACCCGGTGTCACTCTGAGAAGCCGGACCCCGCAGGGCAGCCGAGAGGGGCCCCGGCGCCCAGACCCTCGGAGCAGGTGGCCGGCAGGGGGGCCGCCTGGTGACGCCCGCCCGACTGTCTTGTCAGACACGAGGGGCTCGCTCGGCTGAGCTTCAGAGCCGCCCTGTCATGGCCTCCAGCCACGGACGGCCCGGAGCTGCCGCCCGGGCGGGCCTCCTCACCGGGCGCAGGAAAGGCCTCCGGTGAGACGCCACTGGAGTGGGCGTGGAGTGGGCGTGGAGTGGGTGTGGAGTGGGCGTGGCCAGCACCCCCACCGCCTTGCCCAGACCCGCCCGCGCGGCTGGGCCGTGGCGGGCAGACTTCCTCGTTTCTCCCCCAGCCTGCGGGGGCCTGGCCGGAAATCTTGTGTGGCGTGTGCTCGGGGAGCTAACCGGCCTTGGCCTTGACCACAGGCACTGGTGGTGGGGCTTGTTTCTCTACCGGCACCCAGTCCAGCTCGCCCTGGTGGGGCACCCTCCTGAGGGGGGGCTCTCCGTGGGGGGGAAGCGCCCACAGGAAGTTGGGCGGGGAAACGACGCCCTGGATGTGGTGGGGACGGTCCACACTCCCGCCTGCTTCCCCGGGGGGCTGCCGCATGCCCGGCTGCCCCCTCCGCCCCCTCCACCCTCCTGTGCCGAAGTCAGGCACGTGGCCCAGCTGGGGGGGCTGCAGGGGTGGGTGGGCGCTCAGTGAGGCCGAGGACTGGAGTGGGGAGAGGCCCCCCCTGGAGGGGAGGCACAGGGCAGCCTGCAGCCCCCAGGGCTCTGTGTGCGGACCGGGACGAGAGCGAGACCATGGAGAGGGAGGACGGGGGACGAGAGGCAGGTGTGGCCGGGAGGAGGAGGGGTGCTGGGCAGTGGGGACAGCAAAAGGGGGGGAGGGTGCCAGAGGGAGGGGCTGCGGCCACTCCGGGGGACGGTTGGAGGGTCAGAGCCGCGTCCCTGGGCACAAGGTCATGGTAGGGACTCAGGAGCCGTGCACTCCCCACGGGGCCCCAGAGGGCCACTCGGACACTGCTAGTTTGGGGGCCCAGCCCAGCCTGCGGGGGGCCCCCAAAGGGTCTTCGAGGCGCACGGCACATGCGCGGAGGGCGGCTGCCCCCGGCTCCTTACAGAGGCAGGTCTCGGAGGGTCTTCCCGAAGTCGGGGCTGCTGGCCGCCTCGTCGCCGCCGCCCTTCAGCTGCTGCGTCTCAGAGGCCCTCACGACCACGTAGCTCTGGGAGCCTGCGCGGACAGGGACCTGGGTGAGGGCAGGGGCCAGGGGCCCCCCATGGGACAGAAGGCGTGAGGATGCACCCCGGGGACGAGGGTGGGACAGAGCTGGTGGCACGAGCTGGGGCCAGAAGGAAAAGAAGGTGCTCCCATCCCCCACGGAACCCCTGGCCTTGTGGGGGGCGGGGCGCACCACTGGCCGGCTGCACCCCGCCGGGGGGGGGCGGCGCAGACCCACCAGACACCTGGACCCTCCCGCGCCGCTCAGCAGACCGGGGAGGGGGCGGCCGGCACACCTGGGAGGGCACCCACCTGGCAGCTGCCGCGGGTAGGCCAGGATGGGGACCGCGACCAGGAAGGCGGCGGCCCCGGCGCCCAGGAAGCCCACCCACCAGGCGCCGACCCACAGCGGGCTCTCGGGGGTCAGCTCGGTCCTGCGGGAAGAGACGGTGGGGTCAGCGTCCCGGGCCCTCGGGCTGGGCGCCCCCCGGCTGCCGGCCCGCGCGGGCCAGGGGGAGGGCGTAGCCAGGGAGGGGCGCGGCCCCACCTACCTCCTGCACCGCCCCGAATGCGCACAGCGACACCCCACTTAGGCACCCCGAGGCCACAGGTGGCGCTCGCACCAGGGCAGGGCACTAGACACCTCGGCGGGAGGCGCGCCATCTGCAGAGAGAGTCGGAGGGGTAGCCCACCGCGCCCGCCCCGGGCCTCAGGAGGCGCTGGGCCACCACTACCCGGACGGCGACGCCCGGAGGGCGGGGCCACCTGCAGAGCCCGCGAGGCTGGGGTGGGGAGGCTCGCCTCCTTCCTCTGCCCCCACTCACCTCTCTCTGTCTCTCCGTCCCTCTGTGCCTGCCTGTCCCACCTTGGCCCTGTCTCTCTCTCCTGCTCAGACGTACACGAGCTAGCATCACGAGCAAAGCACGCAGGGAAATGCAGGGAAACAGGAGGAACGCACGCTGACGTGACCAGAGAACCGGAGACACGGCTCTGGCCTCTGCCCCGGTCCCTGGCACAGAGCTCCCTAGCTCTTTGCAGGTCCTGGGGGACCGTGGCGTCTCATGTTCGAGTGCAGCCGGCCCCTCCCGGCAGGTGCCTCGGGGCCTCGGAGGGGCTGGGTGCCTGAAAGACCCGCCGTGAGGCCGGCGCGCCGGGACTGGCGGCCGCTCGCCTGACCCCCGGGGAGGCAGCCGACCGCACCTACGCAGTGAGGCCTCCAGGAAGCCCTGGCAGGAGGGCGTCCCGGGGTTCCCGGGTCGGGGGGACGTGGCGGAGGGGGCCCTGGCCCTGCCCAGCCAGCGCGCTGCGCTCTCTGCCACCTGCACTGTTCCCGGCGTGAGCGCCGGGCGGTGGAGGGAGGACCCAGCCTCCCCGAGGTCTGGGAGGCTCCGCGCACGTCACGGGGCGGAGGAGGAGGTCGTGGGGGTCCCTGCGCTGTGCCCGAGGGGCACGGAACTCGTGGGTGACCCGGCATCCTTACTGGGGGGCAGCCTGGGGGCACCGAGCCGCTAAGCCAGCGGGGGAACTCGGTGTCAGGGCTCAGCTGGCGTCTGGGGAACGGCTCGGCGTGGGAACACCCACAGACAACGGTCTCGCCGGCAGCCGGAAAACCCCCTCTCAGTTCTGCAAAGGGCCTCGGGGTGCTCTGGCCGCACGTGGCTCCCCCCGCCGCTCCCCCACCTGCTCTCCAAGCCACCCCAGACCCGCAGGTACACAGGGCTGCCCCCCCCGACCCGCACACCTGCCCCGTGGGCACCGTGTCCTGCTGTGTGGACAGCGTGGCGACGTCTGTCTGTGCTGGCGCAGGGAGCCGGGCCACTCACCGTCGGCCGATTTCCGTGTAGACGTTCAGCAGGGCGCCTCCGATCAGGTAGCCGGCCGCGGGGCCGAGGATGGCCGCCGTGTAGAAGATGGCTGTGCGGGGAGCGGGCCGTTGGGTGCTGCCACGCCCGCCCCCCGCGGCTCGCGGGAAGCGGCGCCCGGAGTCCCGTCCCGCGGGCCCGTCTGGGAGAAGGAGCCCCCCACACCGGCCTTCTGCACCCGACTGGCCCCCCACCCGCCCGGGGTCGGGTCCCTTTAAATCAGGGTTTCCGTCTCTGAAGCCCCGGCCGGGGCCAACTCTCTGAAGGGATTTAAAAATGTTTCTCTCGCAGCCAAAAAGCAGGCGCCCTCGGGGCTCCTCCCCCGTCACCTAGGAGCCCCCGGGGCCACGGGAAAATGCCACACATCGCCACGTCGCCGCCTCGCGGCCCGTCCCCCCGCGCGCCGGCCGGCCGCACTCACCGATGTAGACGGGCGCGTAGCTGGACTTAACGTTCTCGTCCAGGTAGGTGACGCCCAGCGTGTACAGCGGCGTGGCACCCACACCATGCAGGAACTGGCCCAGCACGAAGACCAGCTGGTAGCCGGACGGGCCTGCGGCCCGGCCCCCACACGCCGGGCCGCTGCGGTTGGCTGGGCAGGTGCCGAGGCCCGGGTCCCCCTCGGCCGCGTGGGGGCCAGCGGCGAAGTGGGGCAGCGCGAACACCAGCGAGCCCAGGCCCATGAGCAGCACGCCCCAGCCCAGCCAGCGTGGCTTGTGCCCACTGCCGCCGAAGTAGCCGACGAAGGCCAGGCAGAGGCAGGAGGCCAGGTCGTAGGAGCTGGCCACCAGGCCGCTCTGGTAGCTGTGCAGGTCGAAGCGGCGCTCGATGGAGGTGATGACGGTGTTGACGAAGCCGTTGACGGTCATGCCCTGCAGGAAGGAGGCCGCGCACAGGAACAGCAGGAAGACCCTCGGCGTGTTGAGGGCCTGCAGGCACGCGGGGGCAAAGTGCCGCCAGCCGCACTCCGAGCTCTGCGGCCCCACCGACGCGTACCGCGCGGCGCGGGCCACCTGGCCGCCGGGCTTCTGGGCCGTGGGCTGGCACAGGGGCTGGACGGAGGAGTCCTGGGGGCCATGGGAGGCCGGATGCAGGGCACCCAGGCTCAGGGGCGAGCCCAGGGACGCCTGCCGGCTGGGGGGGGTGCTGTCGCCCCCGTCGTCCAGGGCCGCAGGGGCGCCGGGGAAGACCAGCTGCGGCAAGGAGGCGAAGGGCTTGTCCCCCATCGCGTGCTGCGGCATCTCTGTCCAGGCGGCGGCAGCGGCGGCTGTCCTCCAGGGGCCGGTCGGTTCTGCGAGAAGAATTTCCGGTGAGGAGACTGGCGTCCACCCCCAGACACACTGACATTTCGGGGAGAACAGGCCCGCACACCCTGTCCCCCGGGCCGGCTGAGGGCCCTACCTGTGCCCAGTCCGGCGGGTGACCCCCGCTCCGGACCAGCCGCCTCCCTGAATCCAGGGCCCCACCTGGACCCACACACTCAGGGCTGCGGCCTGTCCCTGGCCACAGCTGGGCTGGTGGTCCGGGGGTGGGCATGTGCCCGGGCCCCGGTCGTGGGGCAGCCCCGCCCTGCTGAGCTGAGTTCCAGCCCTTGCAGCCCCTGGTGCCCAAGAGACCCTCCCCCGCCCAGTGTCCAGCCCAGCCTTCCTTCTGAACAACCCCAGGCCCTGCCAGCGCTCTGCGACCTTCCGAGCAAACAAGAAGTCCGTCTCGGTCCAGACTCTGGGGTGGGGGAAGTGAGCAAGGGGACAGGGCCAAGCACAGACCCCCAACCCCTGGGAGTGTGGCCGCTGAGGGGTCGGACGGCAGGAACCCTGGCAGACAGACCGGGAGCCACCCAGGGGACCTACCCTGGTCCCTGGAGGCAGCTTTGCATTTGGGGAGACCAAGCAGCACCCATCTCCCTGTGACCCCTCCTGTGGCAGCACGGGGACCCCGGCACCCCGTGGAGTGAGCCTCAGAGCCAGGGGTCCCCGTCTGCCCACCACAGCCCTGTCCTGCTCCCGGGCCGCCTGCAGGGCCGCGTCCCTGAGGCAGTGGGCAAGGGGCCACCGCCCTGCTCCTCCGAGCGACTGGAAGGGCGCACCCGCCCGCTCAGCTAATGATTCTAGCCGCCCACCCCCTTCTGCAGGGCCGGCCGGGTGGGGGGGATGCCGCCAGGCCCCCTTCCCCTCCCGGTGACATCACACCTTCCCAGACTCCCTGGGGGCATCCCCTGCGCACGCCCGGCCACGCCCACCGTGCAGGTAAGGGAAGTGGGCCGCAAGGTGCCCGGGGCCACAAACGGCACCTGTCCACGCCACCTGGCTGCACGGGCCACGCCCACGCGTCACCGCTGTCCTCTGACCCAGTGGCAGTTAGTTACACGCCGGCCGGCTGTTTGCTTTGGAGACCGCCGCCGCCCGGCTATCGGCGGCCGATCTCAGGGCCGTGGGCGGGCAGCAGCGGTTCCACTGCCGACGCTCCCCGGGGCTGTTCTGCCGCCCGGTGCGGGCTCGTGCGCCCGGCTCGGTCACGAGGGAGCTGGGCCGGAGGGGGCAGCCAGAGCTTCCTGCCGGACAGAGGGAGGCCCCCGCGCACAGCTGCCCCGGTTGGTGGCTGCCCGGGTGACCCCCGGCCCACCCGCGGGAGGCAGTGGGCAGCCTGGAGGGTGACCAGCTGGGGCCCTCGGACGGGACGGCCTCCCCACCCGGCAGCCCGGCAGCTCCGGTGGCCGGAGGCACAGAAACACAGAGGAAGGCGGAACAGGCGGGACGCCGCCCGAAACCCCTGGCTCGGACCCGCCCTGTGTCTTTGGTCACGATGTGTAAACACACACACGTGCACACATGTACACATGTACCCACAACTCGCACACACGCACACACAGCCGCCTGCACGCCCGCACAGGCAAACCACGGGGTCCTGGGCCTCCACCCAGGGCTGGAGCGGATCCCCAAGAGATGGGTGGGGCTTGCAGTGGCCACCCAGAGCCCCGTGCCGGGCCGGAGGGTCAGCACCGCAGCCCCGGAATTCCCGCGGACCCAGGCCCGAGGGGCGGCGGCCGAACACCTGCCCGCAGGCCCTGCACGTGGCTCGCTCGGGCCGCAGCAGGGCCAGGCCTTCCCCGGGCCGCCGGCTTCGGTCGTGAGGGGTGGCCCCGAAGAAACAGGGAGAGAGCTCCCTCTCTGGAAACGAACCGGCCAACACCCCAGGGCCCGCACGGCGGGTGGTGGGTGGTCCCCGCAGCCCCGAGGCCAAGTTCTGCCCGATCGAGAGCCGTGGGCCTCTGACCCAGACAGACGACGGCCAACCCAGGGCCCTGCACCGCGCACGCGTGTGTGACTCGTCCACGGAAACTCTCGTGCGAGAGGGCGGCCGGCGCCCCACCGCCAGCCGCACGCCCCGAGGCCTCCCTCAGGGCCCCGGGACCCGGTTCAGGGTCCGAGGCCACAGCCACCGAGGACGGGGGGGCCCTCCGGCCTCATCTGGGACCCACTCCCCCTCGGCCGGGCGAGCGCGGTGACAGTGCCTGTCAGCGCTGCGCCGGGCTCCTGTCCCACCGACGGGTGGCGGGCTCCCTTCTCAGGGGGCTGGGGCCCTGTCGGCGCGTCTGGGCCGGAAGGGGCAGCCGGGTGCCCCCGTGACGGCGGTGCGGAGCTGCAGGGTGGCTGGAACACGGCCGTGCGTGAGCCGCGGCGTCTGGAGTCCACCAGCAGTGGCCGGACCCTGAGCACACCCAGGGCGGTGCGACGCCCGATGCTCACGGCCCCGCGGTCGGTCCCGTGTCCCTGGGAGCCTCCGAGGAGACCCCCTGGTTTGGAGGAGACGCCCCACGGCTGGCTGAGCCCCAGGACCAGAGACGGGGTCTCCCTCCCGGCCCTCCAGCTACAGGACCCCAGAGCCGGGCGTCCGCCTGGCACTCCCAGCCCCACGCACACCACCCCCCAAGCCACGGGCTCAGGTGCAGCTGCACAGTGGGTCCCCCTGGGGGCAGGGGGCCGTCCTTGGCCAGGTGGGCAGCGGGAGACTCCCGGCCGAGGGCAGCGAGTGGGGAGGGGGCCGCACCCCACCCGCCGAGAGGAAATCCAGGCCCCGAGGCTGCTCTGGGATGAGTCAGTGGCCCAGGGGGTGGCTCGCCGTGGCTGGTCCTCGAGAACCGGGACCCCAGCTCCCACAAAGGGCCGAGGCGCTCGGGATGCCCCCACTGGTCTTGCTCCTGTTATTCCCTCCGGGGCCTCTGGGGGTCCCCGCAGGCAGGCGCCTCACGTCCTGGGTGGAGGTTCACAAAAATCGGGGCAGGCGGGAAGGAAGCCGGGTGACCCCGAGGGACGCCGCTTTGAGCCCCTGCGGGGTAGTCTGGGGTCCGGCCCAGCAAATGCCCCCTGGGAGCCCTTCCCTTTCGAGGCCCCCCAGGCTCTGTGCGGGGCCATCCTGGTAACGTGGCTGCCGGGGAAATCACAGACTTCGTTTCTTCTGTCTCGGTTTGTGCCAGCGGTGAAGTCCCTCCTGGCTGCACCCGACGGCTCTGAGGCTGGCAGCCACCACACTGGGCGCTGTGACACGCCCCACACCCCGGCCTGAGCCCCAGCACCCTGGCCGCACCCTCGGTGCTTGCCCCACAGTGGCTCCCGGGAGGCCCCAGGCAGCTGCCGCCTTCTCTCTCGGCCGGCCCCGGTGTCCCCCCTGGGGGCAGGGAGGGGGACTTTCACTTCTTCAAGACGAGACTCGAGGCTATTTATACGACACACACCCCTGTGGCCCCGCCCGGGGCGGGGGGGCCCCCGGGGCGGTGCCTGGTGGCCCGATTCGCATACTCCGGGAGCTCGGAGCTGCTGTGCGCGGAGGCCGACAATGCCGGATTGTCTGAGCGTGTGCAGGAAGGGCCTGTCCTCCCGGGAGTGTCCTGATCCCGTTCCCACGCTTGTGCCCAGCGCCCGAGCCCCAGTGCGGGGAGGGCGGGGTGCGCCAGGGTGCGGCGGCTGAGGGAGCTTACGCCTCTTCCGTTGATCAAACGTTAATGAATAATGTTTGATCAAAGAAAATATAAAAAGAGCCGTCCCGTGCCGCGCCAGGGCGATGCCCAAGTGCGGGGGGGCGCGCAGAGGAGCTGCCTCTGAGCCCAGCAGGTGCTCCCCCTCGGCTCAGGCCCGTCCGAGCCTCAGTTTCCCTGCTGGGAAGGGGTCCCCGCACCACTTGAGGCTCATCGGACATGCAGGCTTACAGAAGGGTCCTCACGGGGCCCTTGAGGGCCGTTGGGGGGTGCTGGGGGCAGCAGGCTCTGCCCACAGGGTGGGCCTGCCTGGGCTGGACTTGGCCGATTCCAGAGGGCCTCTCAGGCCCACGGGTCCGAGTACGAGGCCCCTGGTGCCTGCCAAGAGGTAGACGCCCCAAAAACCTAAGGGCCGGAGCAAGGTGGGGGTGGGGTGCCACGCTCCGCCCAGCCCAGCCCAGCCCAGCCCCCTGTGGCTCAGGGTCCCCCTGAGGGGAACCCCACGGTCCGCCAAGCGGAACAGTGGCTGAGAAGAGGCAACCCCCATGGGTGAGGGTGCTCACGGGGGGGCCCAGCTCCGTGCGGGGGCAGAAGGCCTGTCGGGAGCCCCCTCAGCCGGCCCAGCCCACCCTGTGCACGGGCCCCTCCTGGCCTCGCCGTGAGCGGCGCCTGCAGAAGACCTGGTTTGTGACAGCGTCCACCTGCGGCTGGAGAGCTGGCTCTGGAACGGGATTTTGCCTGGGCCACTGAGGACAGCGAGGTGCGCCCGGGGCCGGCAGCCTCGAGGGGACCCTGCGGGTCTGGCGTTCAGGCAGCCGGGCTGGGTGCCTCTGCCTCCCCCCGCAGGGCCCGGGCGCCCCGTTCCCTGCAGAACCCTAGCAGGCCCGTCCTTGGCCTGTTCCACGGCCCACCGCCACGCCCGCCACGCCCACGGCAGGCCTGGCCCGGCCAGGCGAGCAGCTGGGTGCCCCGGAACACAGGCGGACTCGGGGTCCCCAGGCCCGTTGTGCGCCCCCCTCCAAAAGCAGACAGTGGGGCTCCTGGGCACGCCTGGGCACGGGCGGCCACGTGCCTCGGGGGGGCCGTTTTGGTGGTCTGTGTCCACGCCCCAGGCAGACGACACCCGGAGTGGGCAGCGGCGTGGCCAGGCAAGCCCTCTGCGTCCCCCGCCGGGCCGGCCGCCCCGGCCCAGCTCCCTCCTGCCCATCACCCACGTCTCCCACAGGGAGGCCCCGGGGCTCAAACTCGCCACAGCAGCGGCCAGAGCCCCTGGGGTGTGAGTCTGCAACAAAGCCACAGGTGTATGCGGCTCTGCAATGCTGACCCGGGGGGTGGATTACCTGACCCTCCCCACCCCCCCCGCCGGAGACTTCTGGAGGGAAAGCACCGCAGGGGGGATGCTGACTTAGGTTTCGCCAGGAGCCAAGCCGACCTCGGCCGGCGGGAGGCTGGACTCGGAGGAGACCCGGCGCCGCAGCCTGGGTTTGTTAGGCGAGGGTCCGTCGAGGCCAGGGAGAGCCGGGCACTCCACGCCGAGCCCCTCGGAGCCAGGTGGGCTAATAATAAGGCCAGGTCAACCCCAAGGCCCTCAGTCCCTGGGCCACCATCCTGCCTGAGTCCCGGCACCCGGCCACCTCGCCTTGGCAACAGGCCCTGCCTGGCACCTGCTTCCAGAGCCACACCCGGGAAGGAGGCGGCCCCACGGAGAATTTCCAGGTGGTGCCTTCCGCCCCGCCCAGCAGGAAGCAGGACAGGCACCTGTGCGGGGCAGTCGGGGCCTGGGTCCCCCCGAGACGCCCCTCCTGCCTTTCCCCCGCCACACGGGGGCAGCCCGGCTGTGCAGGCCGGCTGCCGAGAGGCTCCTCCTTGCGTCTTGGGACCGCGGGCCTGCTCTTTGGGACACCGTTCCGCTGTAGCTGTGTCCCTGTCCCTGGCTCCCCCACCCCCAGACGCAGAACTCCACATGTCCAGGGTCCCAAAACCCGGACTCAAACTGCTCCACCCGGACACGCTGTGTGGCCACGGGCTGGTCGCTTGACTGCACCGGGCCTCAGTTTGCTGGCCAGGAAAGTAGGAGCGGCAGCGCCCGCCTTGCGCAGTGGCCAGGATCGGCACCGTGGGGTTCCAGGCCCACAGCACAGGGCTGGCCCGTGCTGAGCGCCGCACGGACAGCCCCTGCCGTCTTCATCCCTGTGACGGTCTGAGTCCCGGCCGCCGCTGGCGGCTTCCTGCGCTCTGAGGTCCCACCGGGCCCAGGGCGCAAACCCCTCCGGCCCGGCCTTGCAGGGTTCAGTGAGTCCAGCCGCCTCCCAGACCAGTTTCTGACCAGAGGAAATCCAGCGGAGGCTGGGGCTGGGTGAACCCTGTGGAAAAGTACTGCGGTTCCTCCCGCCCGGCGGGGGGGGGGGGCACTCCAGGGAGCCCAGGCACTCAGGGAGCGGGGCCTGGGGGCTCTGAGGCCAACCGGCCCCCTCTCCACTCCCCCCGAGTTGGCGCCCCACCGCCCCAGCAGTTTTCTCCACCCGGTTCCCAGAGGCGGAGGCCCCCTCCACCGAGAGCCCAGTCTCCTGGTCTGGGGGCCCGTGTGCCCACCAGGACCAGGACCGGGGGTGGCTGCGCACCCTCGTTTCCACCCTCCCTGCCCTCCGCTCGCACCCGGGGCTCCAGCGTGGGACCTCACGTGGTGAGGCGGGGACTGGCATGTGGTGGGCCTGACCTGGGCCGGGACCAGCCCAGGCGGCCACCCACAGCAGCCCCTTGGGGCTGCCTCCGCCCACGCTCCCCTCCCCACAGTGCGGCGAGCCCGGGGTGCGGATGGCGGGAACAGAGCACGGCGCCCCTCCAGAAACTTCACGGCCTCTTCCTCCTTGACTCAGCAGCGGCTGCATCCGGCGTGGCCCTCAGGGCCTGCTCCAGCACGGGCGCCCGGGCCTGCCCTGGTCACCCCCCTGGACCCCCGGCCCTCCCCGCCCGCTCGCTCCATCCCCCATCTGAGCCCCTAGCCCACCACGCGCTCGCCTTGCCGGTCGCCTGTCTCCTCCCAGAGCTCCCGACAGCGGAGCTGGGAGCCAGAAGGGATGCGTTTTCCGGCCGATGCGCGGGAGGCAGCCGGGCTGTGGGGCGCTGGCCCACGCTCTGTCCCGCACGCCCGCCGGGGCGTCTCGGGGCGCTCTGCGGACCCCAGGCTCCTGCCCGGCCCGGATTCCCCGCCGCCCGCGCGAGCGTCACCGAGGCCCGAGGCCCGCCTCCCCTCCCCGCCGCCCCCAGCAGGCACCTGCCGCTCTCCTGCCGCCAGCAGGCCCGGGCCCGGCGCGCCTGCCCAGCCCGCATTCCCCGGAGCACTCACCGTCCCGGTCCGGCCGCCGCGCTGCTCCGGGAGCTGTGGAGGCGTCGGCAGCCCACTCTTCATTCAAGTGCTCCCGGCAGGGCCCTCCCCCGCCGGGAAAGGCTCTGGCCCCGCCCCAACCGCGCCCCCGGGCCCGCCCACTGAAGGGGCAGGTGCGGGCCGCGGCGGGGACCGGGCGGGGGGAGCTGCGAGACCCCCCGGGCGAGGGGCTGGGGCCTGGACTGGGAGCCTCCTGCCCCGGGGCCACGGCCCAGGATCCCAGCGCCCCTGGAGCCGGCGCGCTTGGGCTGCCCAGTCCTTCCCCAGCCGCAGAGTCACGGCCCCGCCGGCTGCCGGCGGGGACACCGAAGCCGAGCTGGGAAGGCTCCTCCCCAGGCCGCGCGGCTTCGAACTGGCTCGGGATCCGGGCCCCTGCGACCCAGGCCGCTGGCAGATGTCACGGGCGGGAGCGGAGTTTTGTGCCCCCATCTTTAGGGACGGCGGCCGGTGGCCGGGTGGGGGACAGGCCAGAGAGCGGAGGTCGCAGCCGGCTGTGTCCGGCCAGGACGCCCACCTGCGCGCAGCGCCTCAGGCGCGCTCCCTGGAGCAGCCCCTGGGCATGGAGCACGCGCGCGCGCGCTCGGGGGAGGGGAGGGCCGGCTGGGGATGCGCCCCGGGTGCACAGCGAGGCCCGCACCCTCGCCGGAGGGACCCAGGGCCTCCTTCCTGCTGCCTCTCCTGCAACGACCCTGTCTGGAAGTCAGCACTGACGTCAGGCCGCGGGGAGTACCAGACACAGCGACCCCACCGGGAGGTCCCGCCTGAACTCCTGCCTCCGGCCCGCGCCGTGACCTTGCGCACGTGACTCCAGCCCGCCGAGCCTCGCTCCGCCCCCTGGAAACCCTCCGCGGTGGAAACGTGAAGTGCCATGGAGCGGGACGAGGCCCCGCAGTGAACTCAGCAACAGCTGGTCCCCGTGACACGCCCGGCTGTCCCCTCGCGGCTTCTGTACAATGAACGTGTTCGTGCAAGGGTGTGTGTGGATCGGGGGTCGCCTGGGGTCAGGAGGAAGTGTCCAGAACATGGCCTTAGGGAGCACACTCAGGCCTCGGTCAGCTTCCTGTGAGCTGGGGGTGGGGAGGAGGCGGTGCTGGGTTTCGGGGGAAATGTCCACATTCCAGTTACTTAGGAAATGATCTTTCTTCAGGAGGAGGGGCCTGTGCCCACTTGCTCTGATACCACACGTCGCCGGCTGCCTCCGGTCGGGCCTCCATTCCTGGAAGCCTGGTCAGGGTCCTGCTGCTCCTGGAAGAGGGGCCTCTGTTCCTGAAACAGGCGCTTTAAAGAGGAAAAGACATTAGCTGTTGTCCCCGATGGAGAAGGTCCCCCCAACAGCATGGGGACCTGCTCGAGGGGCAGGGAAGAAGAGGCTGCTAGGAGGGGAGGGGTGCACTGTGCACCCCTCCCCCAGGAAAGCAGAGCTGCCCTGCACACCTGGCCTCGGCCGTGGAAGCTGCTGGGAACAGCGTTTCCCAGCAGAGCTGGCTACAGATGCCTTTGAGGGGTAGTGAGCTCCCCATCACAGGAGGTGTGTAAGCGAAGCTGGCCAATTTTCTGATGAGGCCACTGAGGGGCTTTCATATGTCAGAAGCAGGATGGTACTCGGTGTTTTTGAACTTCATTTTGGATTTTGGTTCCTTGGAACCATTGTTTACACAAACAATTCATGTGTTTTACGAAAGGGGTAAGTTTATTTTTTAAAAAGGTAAACTGGCGGCATCACTGCAGAGAGGGCACCGTGAAAACAGGTAGAAGAGAGAGAGGGGGGCACCTAGTTCCCGCCAAGAACGGCTGCTACCCGCCGGGGACACGGAGCCCAGGCCGGCTTCTCCCCGATCGAGAAGGGGCCTGGGCCGTGCCAGCCAGGTGTCACGGATCTACCTGCCGGGGCGGGGGGCCTGCCTCCCGCCCTCGGTGGGCGCTGTGGGTGGGGGAGGGGGGAGAACCGGCCCCCCTCCTCAGCTCACCGCGGTTTGCAGTCTTGCGTGCCAGCCTCCAGCGCCCACACGCCCGGGCCATCACCGTCCTGAGGAGCGGTGGCCCCGGGCCCCCCAAGGAGCCCGGGCTCACGGCCCCACCAAACCGGTCACGTGGGAGGGCCCCCCCATCCTCCCGCAGCCGCCACGTAAGAGGGAGACAGGAGCTGGCGTTCCGGCACGTGGGTGCAAGGCGCAGGCCCCGGGCCCTCCAGGGCTAACCCGGGCCGCCCCCACAGGCCGGAAACCCTGTGTGCCCCAGGACCCCGCCCGGTGCCCCCTGCCCGCAGGGGCACTGCAGGTGGGGCTGGAGCCTGCTCTCTGCCCCCTCCTACAGTGGAGGGGTTGCGGGGAGGGAGGGGCTCCCCAAGGTCACCCACAGAGCACGGCGGCTTCGAGAACAAGGGCAGCCTACTAAAGTGTCCTAGAACATCCTGAACCCAGCCCCGGAGGGCTTCCTCTGGAGAGAGAATAATGAGGAGGGGAGGGGCGAGCCCAGGTCCCCGGGTTCCCAGGAGGCCTGCCTGGGGTGGGGGGGGGCGCCCCGCTCCCCGCCGGGCATCTCCAGGGGGCGAGGGCCAGGCACTGGCTGCTCCTCGGCCACCGCTCCATGATGTCACCCAGCACCCGGAACGCTGAAGTCGGGGTGCTGGCTGTGCCGACGCGCCCTCGCCCCGCCCACTCCGCTGGCTCACGGCCCCCTCACCTCCGGGAGGGGGTCTGTCCTCCTGAGGCCACGGGGGGAGGGGGGCAGGCAGCGGGGGGAGGAAACCTTCTCCAGCCAGGGGACAGGTCAACACTCGGCTCCCCAGTCTGGGGACCCGGCCCGAGGTGCGGGGCACTGGGGGTCGTGTCCGAGGACGCCGGGGTCGGCGGGCGGCGCCCTGTCCTGGAAACACGGGCATTGCGTGCTAGCCCTGCGCTCTGTGGCCCCTTCTGTTTTGGAGAGTTTCTCAAGTGTGGCAGTCGGGGGGGGCCTCGGGAATGGCCAACGTCGTCCCTTTCCGACTCCCCACGGTGGACATCGCAGCCGGGTGACCGTGGACGCCACCCCCGTTGGGTCCCGGGTTGAGGCTGTGGAGGTTCTGGAAACACCTTGTGCTGCTTTAAATGCCCACAGGCAGGTCCTCACGGTGTTGCACGAGGAAGAGGATTTGGGGGAAGCTGGAGGGGAGTCGGGCCCCCGCCGAGGGCAGCTCTGCCCCCCCAGCGGCCGAGCGCAGGCTGCGGGGCGGCGGCCGCGGTCTGTCGGGCACTGCGCTCGGGCAGGACGCGTGGGTGCGGCGGTCCAGGTGCAGGCTGCCTGTGGGCCCCAGGGAAGGCGAGCGGGAGGTCGGAGGGTCCCAGGAAGAGGCCCAGCGGGGCGTTCGGACTTCGGGCCGGGCGGCGCCTCCTGGGGCCGAGAGGTGGCCGGGGAAGGGAGGGCCCAGGAGACCGGGAGGTCTGTGGTGGCCGGGGTCCGCACAGGGTCCAAAGCACTTTGGTCCCCAAAGTCACAATTCCACCCAAGGAGGGGAGAGCCCCCTTTATTGTTCTTTTAAATTATTTCTATAAACCCTCACCCGAGGACATGTTTATTGATTTTTTAAAAAGATTTTATTTTTATTTGTTTTCAGAGAGAGGGGAAGAGAAGGGAGAGAGGGAGAGAAACATCCATGTGTGGTTGCCTCTCGAGTGCCCCCTACTGGGGACCTGGCCGCAACCCAGGCCTGTGCCCTGACTGGGAATTGAACCGGCAACACTTTGGTTTGCAAGCCCGAGCGTAACCCACTGAACTACACCAGCCAGGGCTGTTTATTGATTTTTCAGAAGGAAGAAAGCGGGGGAGAGAGAGAGAAACGTTGATCAGTCGTCCCCTGTATGGGTCTGGACCGGGGGCCTAACCATAGCCTTTCGATGTCAGGTGACACTCCTACCAGCTGGGCCACCTGGTCCGGGCGGAGAGGGCCCATTAGAGCAGGGTGTGGCCAGAGAGCCCGCCGGGACCACCCGCTGGCTGCGGTCCGGGCACTGCGTTAGCTCCCCTGGGCCTCAGTTTCCCCTTCTCATGGCCCTTGGCACTGTGGGGGCCCACACGCGTGACCCCTCCATGTGAGGTGCCACGCTCCCTTCCACGCTGACCTGCGGCCTCTCACGTGAACTGAGGCGGCGGCCTCGCCGGGCCGGGCCCCTGGCCAGCTGTGCACAGAGGCCCGGGGTCCAGTCTGGGCAGCAGAGACCGGCTAAGGGCGGGGAGCCCGCCCGGCCACAAGCTGCCCCCTGCTCTGCGTCCTGCGGCAACGCGGCTCTCGGGAGGTGGAGCTGCCAGCCCCTCCCTGTGCAGCCTCCAGAGCAGCTGCTGGGGAGCCCGATTCCACTGCCCGGGGTGGGGGCGTTCTTCCAGACGCGGCGGGGGGGCTGCAGCCGCACAGAGACCACACGGGAGTGACCGTGCTCACCGGGGCCGCGCAGGTGGCCCTGCTTGGCGGCAGGCCCGGGGAGAGCAGACGCAGACACAGTTCCCCGCAGGCACCGGGGGCTGAGCCGGCCCGGGCCCATACCGGGGCGGGGGGTGGGGGGTGTCTGTTCTCTCCCGGGCCACCCACGACGCAGTCTCGGCTCAGAGCCTGGTGCTGGAGATCGGGTTTGGGCAGAGACGCAGTCTGCCCTCCCCTGCCAGGCCAGCGGGCTCCCAACTCCGAGCACCACCATCGGGGACGCTGGGGACTGAGCTCCAGGAACAGCTGACTCCGCTGGCGGGGGGAGCCCGGCCGTGCGGGCAGCTCTGTGACGCAGGCGCCCGGGACCCGGGGGAGCCTGGATCCTGGTGCCCGCAGAGCCCGGCCTTGCCCAGACCCGGCCTCGTCTGGACTGGCATTTCCCAGGCAGGGAGCTCAGCGTCACGGCGGGCCCCCTTTCCACCCTCCTGTGCAGCGTCGACAGAGGGGGAAAGGCCCCTTGCGTCCAGAGGACATCCCGTGCTCCGGGCTGGCCCGGCGCCCGCCCGGCAGGTCTGGGCGAAGGGGTGGTCAGCCGTCCCCTTGGCAGGGGCCGCACATTCCAGAAGGACCTCACCTCAGGTGAGTCACCACGGTGGCTTCGCAGACAGCGATGCGGGCGGCCACGGGGCCTCCTGGCAAGGCGGAGAGGCGAGCCCAGTCAAGCCTCCTGCCGGGTCAGCTCGCTCGCCTCCCATGCGGAATGTGGTTGTAGATCCCCGCTGGGCCGCGGGACTAGCAACATTGTATCGCTTTGGGGTGCTCGGGTTAAATGCGTTAAATGCAAATATTCTCGGGGCCCACAGTTCTTTGCAGCCCCTTCTAAGTGCCTCTTTGTGTCTTAATTTGCTGGGGACCCCAGCGCCCTGGGCAGGAGGGACCCTTCCCTGTCCCCAAAGCCCTGCCCTGGGCACCTTCATCCTCCAGCTGCCGCCTCCCCAGGAACCAGGTGCCCCGGCTGCTACTCATGACAGCCAGCAACAGGAGGCCGCTGGGTGGGACGGTCTCGGGCCGCGGGACGGCCGGGGCCTCCGCTCCTCCTGTGGAGCCGCTGGTCCGTCCTGCCCTCGCCTCTGGGTCCTGTGCCCTTCCGGCCCTGACCCTGCCTTGTTTGGTGCCCTCGTCCTGTGTCTCCCCCTGGCCAGGGATGGAGCTCACCCCGGTCTGGCTCTCAGCGCCCTGCCCAGCCCCATCCCCCCTCCAGCCGAACACCCCAGAGGTCATCCCCCACCCCTGTGTCTCTGGACTCCCAGTGTTCCTCTTCTTGAGAATGTCCTCCTTTGTTGTCAATGCAAATCTCATCCCGCCACTTCCAGGAAGTCTGCCGGGACTGCACCTCCTCTCTTTCCTCTCCTCCACTCTGGAAGCCGACTGGGCTCTGTCTCTCTTCGCCCTTTCGTGGGCGCGGGCCTCTCCCTGGCCCCGGGCAGGCTGCACGCTTTCTGGAGAACCTTCAAGCAAGCCGATCGCCTAGTGACCAGTGCCCCAGCCCTGGGTGAGGGGCTGGGGGCCAGAGGCAGGGAAGGCCTGAGCCTCCCCACCCCTGTGACACCCGTCTTGGATGTCACGACCCGGAACCCACCCCAGCGCACTCCCTGTCCTGCTGACCGTGCTCACTGAGTCACCGGCACTCAGGGCTGGCCGAGCAGGCCGGTCAGCGGCCTGAGCCCTTGGCCTGCCGCCCTCCCCCACCATGACCCTCCAGCCTCGGAGGGGCAGCCTCGGCGGGGGTCCTGGACAATGCCACCCCACCCCGGCGGACCGCCGATGAGCTGCAGGGGCCTGAGACCCCTCCCCTCCTTCCCCGGGGAGCACGAGATGAATCCCCAACCAAGAAACCAACCCCCGGGAGCTCCCGAGTGGCCATGGCGCTGGGACTGGGAGGCGGCCGGCGTCGGCCAGGCAGGTCTCGGGGACGCACTGTCCCGTGTGTGTGTGTGTGTGTGTGGTCTTGAAGTGGGAGGTGGTCCTGGGGCAGCTGGAATGGAGGCCTGGGCAGCCCTGGGCCACGCAGCTGCCCCTTCGACTCGGTGAGCGCTGGGCACCGAGGGTGGGGGGGCTGAAAGCCGCCAGCAGGTCCTGTCTCCTTGAGGGGCCACCGAGTCGGGAGTTGGTTGGCCACGCTCGGGAACGGCAGCAGCCGCAGGCAGGGTGAAGACCCCCAGGGGGTCCTCCGGCCCAGGGCGGCCCTCATGGGGGCAGCTGAGAATGTGGGGCTTTGCCCGAGGGTGCCTGTTGTCCCCGGAGAGCCTTGCCAGGGGCAGGGTGGCCAGCCTGACCCTCCCCAAGCTCCCTGGCCGCCTGGCCGAGGTCCGGGGAGGCCGGGCATGAAGAGGGGTGTCTGTCGTCCCCGAGTTCCCCTCCTGGGGAGGGTGTGCTGTCCTCGGAGCTGGGAACCCCCTCCACCCCCAAAGCGCGCACCAGCAGGCTCGGACCCGGGGCGTGCTGGCTCTGTGGGCCGGGCGGGCGCAGGGCGGTTCTCAGAGGAGGTGGTGGACGTCGCCGGGGCCCACTCCGCGGCCAGGAAAGCCTTGCACACCCTCTGGTCGCGGGGCCTGTGGCCGGTGCCCGGCGGGCTCTCCCACTCAGCGGGGCTTTTGTTCCCATTGCAGGGAGCAAATGCGACTTTTGGGGTCACCGAGAGGCCTGCCTGTTCTCCTGGAAACAGGGAGCCCCAGAGGGGGCTGGGAGTGCCAGCCCATTTCCGCAGCCCAGACGGCTGTGCTGCTGCAGGAAGTGAGGCGGCTCGAGGCTCCGCGGGGCCCACGGGTGCCCCGTGTCCGCAGCCCTGGCCAGGCCTCCTGGCCCGCCCCCCCCCCCCCCAGCACACGGTCCCTTGTCTTGAGCGAGCGTAGCAAGCAGCCCACGGCGGGGGCGGGGGTGAGCGGCCAGGTCCTCAGAGGGCGCCCCAGAGATGGGTCCCCGTCCTGGGCGGGGAGGGGGGTGTTGCGCCGCAGGCACCAGCCCCCGGGACGCCCCTGCCCGCAGCCATCGGCTCCGCAGTTCCCTCCCACGCACGTCCGGCTTGTCCAGCTCGTCCGAGCCGGGCCCAGCCACGGGCAGGGGCGGGTGCTGGGCATCTCCCGGCGTGGCCCTCAGGCGGCAGGCTCCCCACACCCCGGGGAGGGGCTCCCTCCTTCCAGCCCTTTCAGCTGGAGGCGGACAGCCCAGCAGCCTCCCTCAGACGTGTCCCCATCCAACCCGTCACCCAGGCCGTGCCCCGGTGCGGTCTTGCGCCTCTGTCCGCCAGTGCCCACCCGGTTCAGGTCCCCCCGTCTCAGACCACAGCCTCCTGTGGGCTCAGGCAACTCCCGGCTCCATCCGGCCCCCACCTACCGCCCCTCACACCCTCAGGGGGAAGCTCCCTCCCACTCCCCAGGTCCAGCGGCCTGGACCCCGGAGGAGGTGCCCCACCCCACCCCACCCCACCCATCCAACCCCTGGGGGAGGCGCTGGTGGCTCCTGGGTGTGCAGGGGCGCGACTCCCGGCAGAGGGGCCGCCCGGGCTGGCACGGCGGCCCAGCCAGGCAACCCAGGGAGTGAGCGGTTTTCGGGAGAGACCCAGGCTGATTGGCCAGACAGGCCGACCCCCTGCTGGGCGTCCCACAGCCGGGGGTCCCTTCTCCCAGCTCCTTCCTGCGGGCCAGGAGTCAGTCCTGCACCTGCGGCCCCCCCACCCGGGGGGCGGGGCAGGGGGCCCCGGTTCATTCAAGTGACAGGCCAGCTCCTTCAAGGGCCCAAGGCCGGGGGGCTCCTCCTCCAGGGGGACTTCCCAAGGACCCAGCCACCCGCCTGCCCTGGGGGGTGTCTGAAAAGCCCTCCCCATGCACTGCTGGCCGAGGGCGGGAGGGGGGGCGGTAAACGGCGTGGCCGCTGTGGAAACCAGTGTGGGGTTCCCGCAGAAACCAGAGAGTCGCCCCGCCATCTGGCTGTTCCACCCCTGGGTGTTTGCTTCCAACGTCGGAGGCCGAGACGTGGAAAGACGCTCCCACAGCCACCGTCACGAGGGCCTGGCTGCTGCCGACCAGGAGGAAGATGCCGAGGAAGGCCCTACGGCGTGTCCGTGTCCCCGGTCCGGGGCCGCTGCGGTGGGCCGCTCGTCACTGGAAGTTGAGCTAACCAGTCGGGGCGGCCCCCACCTCGCTCGGCCGAGGGGGAAGCCCGCCGTCCTGAACCCCACCTGCCCGTCCTGCGGCTGCCCGTCCCGCGGGCACTCACACCTCTTGTTTAGCCCCTCGCCCCTCCACAGACTGGTGGGGGCGGGGCGAGCCCGGAGCGGATGCGGCTGAGGCACAGGGGGCCGCCGGTGAGTGAGGGGTTGGGGAGAGGTCTCAGGTGTGGAAACCCAGGTGTCTGCCCCGGGCAGCTCCAGAGGCCCGCTGGCCCCTCAGGTGACAGTGAGTCAGCAGCTGGGGAAACCGCCCTGGGTTCCAAGGACGGTCGGGCCTGGGGGTGCAAAGCGGGACACCTGCTGTGGCCTCCAGGTGGCTCCGAGGCCGGGGGTCTGGCCCCTCGGGGGTCTGGGTGGGGGTGACGGAGAGGGCGGGTGGGGCTCAGAGAGGAGGGCATGGGTCACCACCTTTCTGGCGACCCTGGAGGCTGCCGGCAGCACCCAGATGCCCACGGGGAGGCGGCCGACCCCTCCCCAGGGGCTCCTCCACCCGGAGGTTCAGCTGAGGCTGACCAGAGCCCGGAGTCTGCTGGGGGCCCGGCAGGAGGGGCGCCTGGCCCACGATGCCTGGCTGGAGGCTGGGCCGGCTCCGGCGGCCCAGCGGGAGGGTCCGTAGGAAGACCCAGGAAGGCCACCCGGCGAGGCCCCCGGTCCCTGCGCCCCGTCAGGCACCCTGAGGCGCTTGGGGCGAGTCCCAAACCTCCTCAGAGCCTCAGTTTCCCCACTCATAAAGGGACAGAACCGAACTCCCCGCCCCCTCAGACGCAGCCTCAGCTCTGCAGAGTCCGGGCCCTGGTCCGAGGCCTTGGGCGTCGTCCCTGAGGCGTCTGGGACGAGCCGCTGTGAAGGGAGGGGACCCAGAAAGGGCCAGGCCGCAGGGGAGGGGGGCTGCTGTCCGCCTGGTCCGCCACCTGAACGGAGCCGGCGCCCGGGGCCCCGCTGAGTGGCCCCTGCCCGTCCCAGCCTGGGCTCAGCTGCTCCACGGCACTCGGCCCCGGACGTGGAGACCTGCCTCCCTGCCTCCCTCCCTGACCAGCCCGCGCCCGGCCGGCGGGACTGCCCCGGGGGCCGCACGTGCCCAGGCAGGGCTGGGCGGCCTTCTGGGCCCCGTCTCTGCAGCACCCGGCCCAGCCAGGACACTGCGTTCCCGGAGCTGCTGTCCCGGGCCCTGCGGCCCCCGCGTGGGCGGAGGGAAGGCGGCCCAGGACGGGCGTTCTTGGTCACGGCTTGTCCTGTTCCGGTTCAGGGCGGCACGGAGGTAAACCGAAGGAGAGACGCGTTGGGAACGTCACAGCACACGGCACAGTGGAGTTTCGGTGATGGTGATGAGGTGTCCCTGCCTCAGGGGGACGGGGCGGGGACCCACCCGGCTGCTCCCACCTGCACCCGGGGCAGGGCCTCCTCTGCCCCAGGCAGGCTGGGCTCCAAGCTGCTGCCCCTCCCGGGCAGACCCGCCCCCGGGACGTGGGCAAACCGTCTGTGGGGACCTGAGCTCGTGGAAGGGGCTTGGCATTCATGTTGTCTTCGCCTCTGGCCTGGGGAGGGAGGCGGGGGCCGGGGCCCGCATGCACCCCCGGCCTCTCTTCAGACCAGTGGCTGGCAGGGACACGGGGGCACCGGGACTCGGGGGCCTGGGGAGGCAGGGACCTGGGGACGCGGCCTGCTGCCCTCCCATCATCCGCGTTGCCCGGAGACTCCTGGCTGGAGCCCGCCTGCGCCCCCTCCCCGGGGCCCAGGGTCCCGCCTGCAGCACAGGCCTGCGGCGGCCTCCCGCTCCGAGTCTCGGGAGCCTGCCCTGCCGGGCGGAACTGGCAGCCATGCGGTCTGGGTGGGCATTTCCCCTTTCTGACAATGACATATTTAGATAATAATTAACAGCTTCCTTTACATACTCAAATACGGAACTGCCCGGAAGTGGCTCCGAAGACAGAGCTCAGTCTGTGTTGCTTCTGGGCCGCACCCCGTCCCGAGGTGGCCCTGTCACCGCCTTGTCACCGTGCCCTGACGGGCAGGTCCAGCAGGCCCGGTGCCTCGGTGCAGAGCCCGACCTCGTCTGCCTCCGGTCGGGAGGGAGGGGTCCTGAGGCTCCCAACAGACGGGGGTGGGCCCTTCCCGATGCCTCCCAAGTGGGCCCCCTGTCCACGGTGGGGGGAGGGCCCCCTGCCACGGGCCATGAGGGCGGACAGGGGCCTGGGCCCAGCACAGCAGGGCGCCCTTCCTTGGGGGTTGGTGCAGGGTTCGCTCCTGGAGAAGCTGGCAGACTCCAGCCCCGGGGCCACAGTCAAGGTGCTCAGGGACAGGGGCCCTGCGGCCTCGGGGTGGACAGGGCCTGCACCTCCTGCTTCCCGATGCTCCCACCACGGGAGGGGGGGGCCGGAGTGAGCCGCCCCTGCTGCCCTCTCGCCCGCCCTGGCCAGGGCCTGAGTCCTGGCTCCCGGGAGCCTCCGGCCACGGCCAGTTCTGCACGTACCGCCGCTGGAGTGCGGGCAGCGATGCACGCAGGCGGAAAGCTGGGGGAGAGCCCGACGGCTCAGCCCCCCCCCCCCCCCCCCCCAGGCTGCCCACTTCCCTCCAGCTGCTGAGTCACAGCCCGCTCTCGCACCTGCCACTGACTTCGGTTGGGGTGCAGCCGCTGCTGGTCGAGCTGCTGCTGTCTCAACGCCCTTCCTGCCCCAGAGGGAAAATTCTGCTCTGGAAAATCACCAGGCCAGAGCGCTCGAGCGGTTTGCGCCCCGGGAGGCGTGAGGGAGAAGTGTCCCCTGCCGGCCCCGGCCGGCCGGGGGACCGGGCTCCCTCCCGGGGGCAGCCTCCGGGAGAGCAGCCCCTCGCCGGGCCAGCGGGGGCCGCGTCCCAGGCACCCCCGCGCGGGTGCACGCTCCGGCTCCGAGCGGCGTGTGCAGACCCAAGGCTCCCTCCAGGAGCGCGGGGCCCCGCAGTGACGGACAGGGGCACAGGCGCCCCATCAGCCCCCAGGCCCCAGAACACGCCGGGGCCCGGGTCAGGCTCTGAGTCCCGGCAGGCCCAAGCTCACGGAGCCCCCCGGCCTGCACAGGTGACCGAGGCCTCAGGTCTCCCCTCCCCCCGCTCCCCTCCGTGGCCGGTGGGGCACCGCCACCCCCGCACACACAGGTGCAGGCCGCAGCCCCAGGGCGGGGCCTGAGCTCTCCGAAGGAGCTACGCTCAGCGTCCGGCAGGTCGCCGAGGAGGGGCCGGGGGACCGCAGCGGCCTGACGGGGCCGCCCAGCGAGGGGACTTGGGGCCATGTCTGGGGCCGCGGCAGAAAGCAAGCCTCCACACCCGGGCAGGTGCGCGGGGGTGGCCTCGCAGCCCCCTGGCGTGACCGGGTCACAGAGTGCGACCCTGAGACCAGACGGCGGGGTCGGAAGCCAGGTCAGGGTCCGGGGCTGGGGGGAGGGGTGGGCCGGGGCCTGGTGCTGGGAAGGAGCTGGGAGGGAGAGGAGCGGGGGAGGGGACGGTGCCGGTGCCGGTGCCGGGCTCGGGCTCACGGTGTCCTCCGGATGCCGCCGTCTGAGAGTTGGGTGGAGGATGTGGGGGGAGGGGCCTGGGGGCTTTGCAATCCCAACCCCCGGGCAGCAGCCCCGGAGCACCCCAACACGACATCTGTTCAATTAAGAAAAAGATTTAAACATTTTATTGTTACAGAGAAGGCAAGGGAGGGAGAACGAGAGGGAGAGAAACATCCACCTGTGGCTGCCTCTCGCACGCCCCCTGCTGGGGATCATGGCCTGCACCCCAGGCCTGTGCCCCGACTGGGAATCAAACCGGCAACCCTTTGGTTCGCAGGCTGGTGCTCAGTCTACGGAGCCACACCAGCTGGGGCCAAATTTAAAACTTCAAATCCAACTCAGGCCGCTGGAAACCATCACACGTGTGTGGAGCAGCTCAGGCGAACGGATGTCCCCTCCTGACGACACACTTCACGGAGTTTGAGGACCGCCAACAGTTCCCGGCAAACGTGTCCCCGCTGCGTGGAGGCGAGCTGCCAGCCTAGAAGAGCGCACGCCAGATTTCGAAGGCTCCGCGGAGGAAAAGGAAATTAAAACACCTCATTAATAATTCCTGATGCCCGTGACATGTTGAAATGCTAGTGTGGGGTGATATTGGATTAAGTTAAAAGCGATGCAAATGAATTCCCCCTCGTTCATGTAAAAATCACACGCACGGTCTGCATTGTATGTTTCGTTTGTGTTTCTAATCCTCACCCAAGGATATGTTCGTTGCTTTTAGAGAGGGTGGAAGTGAAAGAGAGAGAGAGAGACAGTGACCTCATACAGGCCCCAACCGGGGCTCGAGCCTCCAGAGCCCCCCGGGGCCCCTCAGAGCCCCCTGGCCCGCCCGGCCGGGGTATTTCTGCACGGTGTTCCTACTGGCAGCGACCAGTCTGGACGCACAGCACCTGGTGGGAACTGTGAACGGGGGGCTCATGCCTTCAGTCCGGTCACCGCAAGCACCTGGGCTCGGGGAGGGGGGCGCGGGTGCAGGGTGTGCGAGCACAGGGTGTGTCCGTGTGTCCGGGCGTCGGGTGTGTCCCTGCGGGGGGGGGGGGGGGGCAGCAGGCCAGCGTGTGTGAGCAGCGACTCCCTGCAGCCCGAGGAGCGGGGACATTTCCACAGGAAGGACTTGGAGCCCCCCTCCCCCGCCCCGGGCCGGGCGGGTTACTGGGTGCCCTTGGCCTCCTCACCCTCACGAGGAGGCCGCTTCCTGGGGACCCGTGACCCTGCAATTACTCAGAGCCCGCGCCTCCCGCTCAGGAAACGTCAGGTCATGCGGACGTCACTGGTTTCGCCGTGACCTCCCGTGGGGGCAGGAGTGGAAATGTTTGACGGGCCGTAACTCTTTCTTTGGGAAATTCTTGGCCTCGGAACGGCAGCCTGCGGGTGAGGTGGGGGCCGGGGTGGGTGGGGGGCTCTGCCCCGCCCCGTCCGCCTGTGCAGGGGGCCCAGCGGCCCCTGCCGTTCCGGGGAGCCCGAGGGCGACACCCAGACACCGGGGCATCTGTGGTCTCCGCCTAGGGCGGGAGGCGGGGTGGGGGAGCGGGGAGGGGAGGCAGCTCTCTGTCTCCCTCAGGGTGGAAGAAAGTAATTTCCTCGCCCCTCCCACCCCACCCGCAGTGGAAAAGCACGGCCCGAGGCGGGACTCGGAGGAGCCTCTCCAGTGAGCTGGGGGTGGGGGGGACACGGGGGATGCCGGGCCTCCCCGAGCCGGGGGGGGGTGGGGGGGGACGGGAGGGCCGAGTCCAACCCCAGGGCCCTGGGTCTGCTGGGAGGGCCCCACCCCGCGAGAGGCCTGCAGCCTTCCCGGCGGCCCCCGAGGGTGGCAGCGAGGGGTGTTCAACAGAGAGCGCTGCTCTACTCTGGCTCTTCCTGTGCCGCCCTCCCGGCGCCCGGGGTGGGGGGTGTGCGCTGGGGACCCACAGGCACCTGGGCTGCGGCCATGGCTGTCCACAGGCCTCGCAGCTAGCGGCCTGGCAACCATGGAGCCAGCCTGTCACGCTCCACTGTCCTTTCAAAGTGCCCTCCTCTGTCCTGAGCACACGGAGAGCCCCGTAGCGTGGTCCCCCTCCCGGGGCCCCGAGCCCGAGGGCAGCACCTGGCTGGGCCAGGAGGGGGCAGCCATGCCCCCGCTGAGCTGGGGACAGAGATGCCAGGAGGGGAGGGTGTGTGGCTGTCACTGCTCTGCCCACGACCTTGGGCACTGCCAGGCGTCTTCCCGGGATTCCCCTGCGACCGCCTCTGTGGGGTGGGGGGTGGGAGACTCGCTCTGCCCCCCTCAGCCTGGGAAGGCACGGGTGGGGGGAGCGGCAGGTGGGTGGGTGGGCACGGGGAGGCGTGGCCTCAGCGTGCAGCCGCCCTTTGCGGGGCCTCACCGTCTCCTGGGGGCTCCCAGTTCTCCGCTCTTTTTCCTTCTCCCGGCCCAAGCCAGCGGGTCCCTGTGGAGACCCGGCCCCCATGTGCCGTGCGCCTCCCCGCAGCCCGCAGCCCGCAGCCCTGAGGCTTCCCAGACCCGGAGACGGCGAGGCACAGCTGGGCTCTCAGACGGCAGAGCACGCCCAGGGAGGCGAGGAAGCTGGCTGGCTGCCTGGGGCAGGGAGGCCCCAAGCCCACCCAGGACATGGGGCCAGGCCGGGCAGGGTCTGGCCCTCTCTGTGGCCACCCCTCCCCCTCCCTTCCCTGACCCTGACCCTGAATGAGGAGGGGCTCTGGCGGGAGGGACCGGGCCACCCTGGGCCTTGGAGCCTGCTGCGAAAGGCCGCCCAGCGGGGGCCGTCCCCCGGCCACCCTGCCCCCTGGTGGCCCCAGGTCAACGGGGCATCTTCGCTGGGGCCGGCAGAGGTGGGCAGGAGGGCGAGGGGGGGGCGTCGGGGCCCAGAGCAGAAGCCCACGCGTGTCCGGCCCGTTGCCGGCCCCCGGCCCTGGGAGCTCAGGAACCTCGCCCCGTGCGAGCAGCGGACCCTCAGGAAGGTGAGCGGTTGGCACTTGCTCTGAGTGGACAGCGGCGCTGCGTCTCGGACCCGGGGGGCTGGCGTCTGAGCCGGATTCCTGCTCGGGGCTCCGCGGGCGGCTGCTGTGTCTCTCCACGCCGGGCCCGGCCACCGTCCGGTCCGCAGCTTGAAAAGGAAGGGAGGCATGAAACCCAGCTGGCCGCTGCCTTGCCCCCACTCCCTGCCCGCCGCCCGCCGCCCGCCCCCCGGGGGGAGGAGGCCCACCCTTGACCGGGGCCTTCAGACTCAGCTACTCAAGGAGCTGATGGGAACCTCGTCCTGCGTCTTCCCGTCACGGCTCCTCTGGGGGACAGCGCTTCCAGCCTCGCCCGAGCCCCAGAGACGGGGGTGGGCTCTTGAAGTCCCAGATCACGGGGGGCCACAGGCACGGGCGGGGGGCTCACCGGCAGCTGGGCAAGGGGGCGGTCTGCTGTCCTGTGGCCTCTGCCCCGCGCTCTGGAGGAAGCCGGGAACCGGGGGAACCCCCCAGGACATGCAATCTTCCTTCGCATCTGGAGGCAGGTGCGGGCAGGCTGCGCTTCCTCGCCTCGCCCTCCCCTGCTCTGCATTTTCAAAGGCCCCATCCAGGCCCGGCTGGCGGGGCTCAGGGCACTGAGAGCCAGACTGTGAACGGGAGGGTCACCGGTTCCGTTCCCAGGCAGGGCACAGGCCTGGGTTGCGGGCCAGGTCCCCAGCAGGGGGTGCACGAGAGGCAACCACACACGGATGTTTCTCTCCCTCTCTTTCGTCCTCCTTCCCCTCTCTCTAAAAATAAATAGATAAAATCTTTTTAAAAAGTCCTGTCTACTTGCAGGGTAAGTGCTGTGACAGCCACCCGGCCCTGCCCATCATCCCCCCACCCCCCACCCCCCGTCACTGACGTGCTGGCCGGGCAGCAGGCCGGGAAGGGGCCCGTCTCCCGGCCGCGGCTGCTGGTCTGGTTCGAGTGCGTGCCTCTCTGCGTCATGGCTGCCAGCGGCCCCGCTGAGAGTGATCTATAGAACCAGACCGGGGCGCAGAAAGGGGACCACTCAGCCTGTGAGCCAGGACACCGAGCCGCTCGCCCGGTCGCCCGGTCATCACGCCCTCCGGTTCACAGCACGGAAGGGCGGGGAGGTCCCTGGGTCACCGGCGAGCGATCGCGGGGACGGCCGGCGCCTGTCCACATGCCCTTGACGAGCTGTGTCATCACTCCCGTCTCCCCACAGGGCGCTCTTGTGGTGTCCACGGTCACGGTCGCCCTCTTCTCTTCCACTCGGCAGCTGACCGAGGGTCGCCGGTACTCTGCGGCAGCTCCGGTGGCCGCACACGGTCCCACCAGGGTCCCTGCGACTCTCGGGGGCTGTTGCCAGCGTGGACACACAGTGACTGTCCTTGCATGTGACTTTGCACGCAGACACTTATTTCCTTAGGATACATTTCTATGAGTTTTGTCGGGATTTCGGTGCCGTGTGCCAAAGCGCGCCCCACGGCCCCATCTCCCCACTCTTCGGCAAAAGACCAGCCAGTTTGCATCCCCCCGGGGGGCGTCGTGCCTCTCTGCTCCGGCCAGAATAGGTGTCGCCATGTAAAACATCGGTTGCCGGTCTGACGGGAGACGCCTGGAATGTCGCCGATGCTCTCGGGACGCCACTTGAGTGCGGGGGGGGGGGGGCATCGGCCACAGGCCTACGGGCGAGGGCGCAACCGGGGAAGGGCCTGCTCACCGCCCCTGCCCGTTTGCCTACTAACGCCCCGTCCTTCGAGAACGCACCGCTATGAGGCCGCGGTTGGCCGCGTGTCCGCAGCGCAGGTGGGAACACCCTCTCCCACCTCGCCACTTGCTTTCTGTTGGGGGTTGTGGTGTCTTTAACCGCCCGAGCGGTTCGGATGTTCCTGTGGTCCCGCGTGCCGCCCAGTCCTTCCTCGGTGGTGCCTGGGATGCCCCGGCCCGGCCCGGCCCGGGGCAACAAATGATACATTTGCGTCCCTGCTACATTTCACCTGCCTGGTGGGCTGCAGTTTGTGGTGATGTCACGGTCCTCACCTTCGCTTCCAGTTGCCTCCTTCCACCGTTAGCGGAGGGTCTCACCTTGGTGAGCAGAGATTGCAGATGGAACTAGTCTACGGTTTTTAAGAAAGATTTTATTATTTATTTTCAGAGAGAGGGGAAGGGAGGGAGAAAGAGAGGGAGGGAAACATCCATGTGTGGTCACCTCTCCTGCGCCCCCTACTGGGGACCTGGCCCACAACCCAGTCCTGCGCCCTGACTGGGAATCGAACCGGTGACCCTTTGGTTTGCAGGCCGGTGCTCAGTCCACTGAGCCACACCAGTCACGGCTAGTCCATGGTTTTCAACGGGTAGAAGCTGATGGCCCGGATATCTTCACCTGACCCCCAAACACACCCTAGTTCTTCCCGGGCGGTGGACTGGGGAGAATTGTTTCCCCTCCGTTGGTCATATTTTCACGGACTGGGCAGGGACCCCCAGATTGCGGCCATCGCAGAGCCCCCGCTGACCCCGGCGGCGCAGGCGAGGTCTCTGGTCCAGGAAAAGGAAAGGGACGACAAGTGCAGACTCTGCGTCCCCCACATCGGACGTTGTGGGGTGTCTGGGCTCCGGCTGCCGGGACGACGCAGCCCCAGGCGGGGGCGCCTGCGGGGGCCACGCCGCTCCGGCTCCTCCTGAGGGCGACTCGGAGAAGCGCCGACTTGTGGGATTTCATAAATCAAGACGCTCTTCTCCGCGGCAAGGGTCGGACATTGATTAGCGTCTGAGCCGTGCGCCTCGCCCGGGCCCAGGGCCCGCCCCCTCCAGCTGTCTCTCTGCCAGCACGTCCGGCGCGTCAGCACTTTTCCGGGAAGGCGACCCTTTCAGGTTCGGCGTCCTCGGTGAGATTACCGGAACGCTCAGCCGCAGGGCCCCGCCGGGCAGGGGATGGAGGGGGAGCTCCCTGGGCCCAAAAGTCCCGGCCAGTGGGAGACCCTGGTCCCTCTGTGGCGTTTCTGGGAGCAAGCTGGGCAGCCCCTCTCCCAGGCCTTCCTGGTTCCCACAGGGACAGCACAGCTCCGGTGGGAGCAGGCGCTGGCTGGCTCCTGCAGACGCCCGACCTGCCTGGGGGGCGGGGCTGTCCCCACGGGAAGACCGGAGCCCATGACAGCACCTCGAAGTCTTCAGTGCGATCGCGGAGCTGAGCTCCACGGAGCCGGGCTGGGGTCGGCTGGGCTCAGCGCCGACAATCTGCCCCCGATGGACTCGGCCAAGCGGCGTCCGGGGCAGACTGTGGCCACTGTGGCACCCTCGGGCCCGCCCCTCGTGCATGAGGACCTCTGAGGTGTGAAGCTGCTGCAGATAGAGTTCGTCTGCCCCCACCCCCAGACCCGCCTGCCTCTGGGTCCCACACCCTCACGGCCAGCGAGGGCTGGCAGCCAGCTGTGGGGCGCCCTTTCCTGGGGAAGGGTAAGCTCTGGGGGCGCATGGTCCCCCCCAAGTCCCACTTGAGCGCTGGAGAGAGACCCCGTGTGTGGTGCGCCGGCCGGGCCCTGGGGGATGTGCACCCTGCCTGCATCGCTCCAGCCGCGGAGGCTGCCGGCCGTCTTGGTGCCGTGCCAGCCAGCTGAGTAAAACTGCTAATGAATAACGCCAGTTAAAAACGGGCATCCAGAGTGCTTCGCTGGCCCCCGGCCCAGCGCTTCCCAGCGCGGGGTCAGCGCGGGGTCCTCGGAGAGCAGGAAGAGCCGCGGCGAGCCCCTCTCCCTGGCCTGCGGTCGGGTCGGCTGGGCTGCGGCGGGCGGGCGGGCGGGCGTGCGGGTGCGGAGACGCAGGTCCTGGGGCAGGCGCTGCCCCGGCTGGGGCTGCCCCCACCCCGTCCACCTCTGTCTCTGGGTCCCGGTCTCCCTCCCTGTCTCTCCCTGTCTCTCTGTTTCTCTTTCTGCCCCTCCATCTCCCTCCCTCTCTCTCTCTCCCCCCTCTCTCAGTCCCCCACCTCTGCCGTTCTTTCTCGGTCTGGCAGTGTCTCTCACCCATTCTCATGGAAACCCACCGGGCCGGTGACCGCAGTGGCAGGCAGGGGTCACTGTGAGCTCACTCCCCATCCCGCCCCCCCCGCTCCCCGCCCCAGGAAGGGCGCTGGCGTGCAGTGCGGGACCGTCTGCGTGTCCCGGGGACGCCCGGCCCCGTCGCTAATCCAGCCGCAGAGCGACCTCAGCGTTTACGATAAATCACCGGGGACGTCACTCCTGGCGGCCACCGCGGGCGGTGGGCGGCTCATTCGTATTCAGTGTGACGCGCACACCTGGAACAATGATGCAGCCGTCCAGCCGCCTGCAGGTGAAGCACCCTGAGCGGGTCACGGTCCCCCGAGGACGGGCACGGCCTGCAGGGGACCCTCCCCCCGCCGCCCGACCTGCTGACACGCAGCAAGGCCTGGGGCGGGCACTGGGTCCCAAAGGGGTCCCGGGTGGGGACCTGATGGCAGCTGGTAGGTGTCTGGTGACGAGGGCCGGCCCTGGCAGTCCCGCCCCCCCTCCCCAGGCCCTGCCCTCTCCGCCTCTGCCCTGCCGACCCCCGCACACTGGACTCTCCCCTCTCGGGCACGGGGGGACGCCTGCCCCGAGCTGGCCACGCTGGGTCTGCTTTAGACACAAGCGGCCCCTGACGACGGAGGGGCCAGGTCCACACACACAGCCCGGGGGCGGGGTTCCTGGCCTTGAGGCGCCCTCAGCAGAGCCCCTCACTGGCCAGAAACGAGGGGGTGCAGCCGGTGGTCCGGGATGCCCTGGGGCAGGTTCGTGCTCGACCCCCTCGGGGGCTGTGTCTCCAGGGACCGAGGCTGCAGTGGGGGCTGCCTCCCCACTCTCCCCGCCCCCCCAGAGGGGTCCTCGGGTCCTATCCGCCCGCCTCCTGCTCCCCACGCCAGGGGACGGGGTCCTGCGCCCCTGGCCCTGCCTGCCCCCTGCGTCCGGCTCCTGGGGTGACAGCCCCCCATGTGCCCTCTCCCCAGCCCGTCCGCCACCCCTCAGGCCGGGCGGACTGGTGGCGGGAGAACCTCCCGCAGGTGGGGCCTCGGGCCAGAGCCCGGGACAGAGCGTCTTGGCTCAGCGCCTGCCCCACGCCCGTCCCATCCAGGGGACGCTTCAGCCCGAGGCCATTAAGCTGTCACAGCCCATCTGTCTCGCCCCCCCCCCCCCGCCGGGTTCCGAGGGGCCGGCGCGCGAGACGCCTGCGCTTCCGGCTCCCCCTCTGCTCCCCCTCGGAGTCGCCGCCGCCGCCGTCCGTCCGGGCAGACCGCCCCGCCGCCAGCGCTGAGCTCACCGGCTCTGCCCCCGGCCTCCCGCCCGGAGCTGGGCCGAGGGCTGGCAAGGACTGTGCTGTCCTCCCGGGCCGCGGCCGCGCTCAGAGGACAGCAGGCGGGGCCCGGCGGGGCCTCTGGCACACCTGCCCCCACTCGCATGCAGCTGGGGCTCTGCCTCCGCGTGTGGGGGCGGGGTGGGGGGGCGGCCTGGTCCTGAGGCCGCCCCTCCCGTCCCCACGGCACGGGCAGGGGGACAGCCAGTGTCCCAGAGCGAGAGCCGCTCAGGGGTCCTCCCGCCGGCCCTCGCCGGGGGCGCCCACACACCCCTCGGGCCCCCAGAGCCCTCTCCCCAAGCTTTGTTGCCACAAGGCCCTGGCAGGGAACGAGGGGGGGGCATCTCATGCCCAGCCCCCAGGTCCTGAGTGGGCCAGGGCCCGTCCCTCCACACCCACGGACAAAGTCCGGACGGAAGGCAGCCGCAGGAGCAACCTCCGGGGCCTGGGGGGCGTGGCCTACCTGGAGCCTCTGGGCTCCCCTCGTGGCTCTGCCTGGAGGACACGCCCCCGCCCCTACCCAGCGCAGCACCCAGGGGACCCGGCTCTGAGGGAAGCCCCGTCTTTCCGCTGGAAGAGCCAGAAAGGGGCCCCCGTAGGCAGGAGGGGCCTGGGCGGGGGACAGTGGACAAGAGGGTCAC